ATTCCTGGCTTTACCCTTCAGAGACCCCAGCAGGCTGAATGTTTTTCTAATGAAAAATAGTTAGGGTGAGAATTTGCCTTCTGGGGAAAATGAGGTTTAGTGAAATAATGTTTCTCTCAATGTCTATAAGACTTTATAAATGTTATCAGGACAGTAATCAAACCCAATCGGTTAACTAAAACCTGAGAAGTACTCACTACATAAGACTTGCATAAATTTAAATATAGGTTGTTTCACTATTTATTGGAGAAAAAAAGAGTGAAATTTTCAGCTTCTTCTTTTTTGTTTTTATCAGGTTGATATGTTTAGATGCGACTACCTGTAACTCATATATAACAACTGCTCTGGTTTTCCATTGACCCTATTGATAAAAGCATACAGAGAAGGAGATAACTTATCTGCTTTTCAGCTTTGCCAGCAGGTGTGGTAAAATCTAGGCTAAAACTGAAAAAAAGATTAGTATTAATTATGGCTTTTTTAGGTTCCTTCTGATAAAATTCATAATAAAGGGGATCTCTTTTGTCATTTTGTGACTTTTCCATTGTATTAAGTAATACTTCTGTGATAATAGCTACACTTGCAGTCAGATATATTTCTTTCAGAACAGAGATGGAAACCAGGCAAATTTAGGAATATGGAGCATACATCTCCACATCTACAGATCTTTATCATAGCAATCTTTAAGGGATAACTGGTGTGTGTTCAGTTCCATACATCTCTTCTCATCCTTTGGCTTTTATCTTGAATTTGAATTTGAATTTTGAATAGGATTTATTTTTCTGATTATTATGCATCCTAAAATGAAGACATCTTGTGAACTCAACAATTGTTGTAGATTTTTGTTCATGCTGGGCAAAAAATAAATAAATAAACAAATAACAAGGTAAGCTCGTGAGAGTCCAGCCCCATCTACTCTGAATGTGCCTCTGGCCTTAATTCGTCCTAAAATCTGAATCTTGGCAACCTGCCTGCCACAAAACTTTTGATACTGAATCCTGAAAAACTTCCTTGAGGGAACGAACTTAGAATAAACTTCTCAGCCGATATGTTGAACAGCCGTACACACTGTGAGGCTGTACTGCTAGGAACATGAATTGTCTTGGGCTTTGGGGTCCCTTCTGTCTCCAAACTGGAGAATTCATTTCTGTCCTCCAGCTAATCTAGGCAATAAAACATTTAACTACATCTTAAGCTTCATGCACCTCAAGGAACACACATATGTTAGTGATATATGATTTCTTTTAGCTTGACTTTTGTTTTTACAGTGTCTTGTTACATACTCACAATCAAAGACATGCAAAAGAGTTGTGACCTTTATCTATTTTACAATGTAGTTTTTCACTTTTTTTTTTCACTTGGTTATTCCAAGCGAATATTTAGCAGCGAGATGTTTTCTTTTGCCCTCAGTTCTGCAAGGGACACATTTCTGTAAATGTTACAAGGTGGAAGTGCTATTTTTAGATGTGGTCCAAAAAGCTACTGAATGTTATACCCTGAAATTTGTTTCTCCTTGCTGAAAGAATGTCACTAAAGGGCCTGGTCTTTCCAGGTTTGGAGCACCCTTTTGGGTATCTCCTGAGGGGAAGAACTTGAGGGTTCAGGCAGGTGTGGCTACAACATCCCCATAGATAAACATCTGGAATCCCCCGGTGTCCCAGACTGTTCTGAATCATTGCAAGACCATTACATTGCCTCACTTCCTTCACATACTAAAAATGTTCCTTCCCCCATGCTTTACTTGTAAGTAACCAACCACCCCTTCATCTGTTACCCCCAGGTTTGCACTGCTTCTTCATTAGACCTTGCTCATTTGCCTATAGCAGATCTCGCTATGCTACTGCCTGCTAGGGAACTCCTGTGCTGCGTCGGGATCTGCTCACACTTGCTGCACCCTCTGCTCACTCACTGCTTCTTCAGCAGTAAAACCAGTGTGCTGCGAACCAGGAGCCAATGTGCATCAACAGGAACTTGCATACTTGGAGGCGTGAAGATCAGGGGAGCGGTGAAAAGTTAAGGACTGTCCCACAGTATGTCTGCTTTCACTCTCCTATTATGACCAGGGCCAAAGGAAAACTAAAATCATATCACCCATCTGATAACAAAATCAGTGTCGTTATGTTGTTGGTATCAACAGAAGTTTTAAACAGTGAAGGTTATTAAACTACTGACCCATTTGTTTCTCTGCAGCATTTTCTTCCTGCTGTGCTGAAGTGACACAGCGGGTCAAACCATCTCCACAAACCACGTTCTTCCACCATACAGCTACTTCTGCTCAGCCACCTTCTCTTCGTCATTCTTCACCCCACGGAGGCACCACATTTCCTTTTAACAGCACAGGCTCTCTTAAAATGACATCCATAAGCCATAGAACAACTGTGCAGACAACAGGCCAGTCTCTAGTCACAGCACCAACCCCTCACACGACAGCCCAGGCAGCAGCAACCACCACACAAGTGACCAGCTGGGTAACTTCCACGGTATTAACCATGACAGCAGCAGAGGACATAACGGCAGCTGGTCACACTGCAACCCGTGCAGGAGAAACAGATACACCTGCGGTGAAGAACACAACCGTACACCTTACATCCCCAACCAACCAAACCACAATAAATGTGAACACAGCAACTACAACAGCATCTACAAACACAACCAGAAAGCTTACACAGCCAAACAACCAAACAACAACCACTGCCATAAGTACTACAGCCACTACCAATACAACAGTAAAGCCCACCACAGGATCAGCTAATCAAACAACAGTTTCTAGAACTCCAACAACCGCAGCCGTGACCAACACGACAACTGTTCATCCAGGGAATCAAACAACCGTCCCATCTACTACAACAACAGTGAGACCCACTCTCACACCTCAGCCTTCTCCCATCCCCACTGGCACGTACATTGTTCGCAATGGAAGCATGACCTGCGTCAGAGCAGTGATGGGTTTGCAGCTGATGGCTCAAAGTATCCAGAAGGTGAGACTGAAACACTACAAGGCTGAGCCTTGCAATAACTGTTCCTTCACTAACTGGAGCTTATCCTACTCCTTTTAAAGCAATTTCCAGAAGTTAGCTTGTACCACAAAAATGAGTTCTTTGCTACCAGTTCAGGCCTTTTCTATGCCACAGAATCTCAGCCGCTGTAGTTTGGCGTGTATAATGATGGCAGTGGGACATATGGGTCCTTTTTTGTTTCAGCAGTGTAGCTGTGATATCAATACTTGGGAGCGTAGGTCAGGCTTCAGTGTCATTTCTGCTTCCCAGAATGCGAGATTAGTTAAAATCTACATCGATTTCAGAAGTGTTTGAAATTGAGAGTGGTAATGAGAGCAAGAAATTATCATTTCACGGATAGCACGGATTCACAAAGACTGTTTGCCCTGATGTTGACATGTGAGGGTTTTAGGATCAGAGCAGCGGTCCTGTGGGGCTGGTATCCTTTCCTGGCAGAGATTTATGGTGAATGATTCTGCAAAGGATTTAAGAAAACCTGAAATAGTGATTATAACCCCTCCAAAAAAGTCTGTGTAACCCCCATTAACACAGATGTGGGGTTATAGCCTCAAGCACCGGCGTTCACACCCCTTGAGCCATGCCGATTATAAATCCAAATGTCCTTGCCTGTAGTCTGAATATTTCTTAAATGGGTTGAGTATCTAATGCTGATGAAATGAATTTCCATTCCTCACACTGTCCAAAGCCAGGCGGGGAGCATTATTCCCAACCTCTCCAGCCCACAGGAAGACTTTCATTATACAATTAAGGTGCACATGAGTTTAGACTGGAGGAGTGAACCGTGTATTCAGAGCCTCAAAGGTCTCCTTTCAGACAAGCACGTGGGTTGGCAGACGCTAGAGACAAACTGCAGTCTATCATGAGGAGACCAGAGTAATAAGACAAGCAACAAATCACACTGAGACTGCAATGCCACAGCAGTCAAAGCCAATCTACCCACTGCCTGCTTCTATCTTGATCTTTCCTGTGCCTTCAGGCACATGTTCCCACTGCTCCCTCTTTTTAAGCTGTCGCTGGTGCTCATCTGACCCTGCTCTGAATCATTTCAGTTCACTAAATGAGCAGAAAGCTATTCTTTTCTGCCAGATTAAAACACTGCAACAGCACAGCACTGTGTCAGACAAGCACTGGTGCCAGTTTAAGAGAGGGGAATGACGCTGGCAGCCAGCAATTAGGTAGTGCCGGAGTCACCAGCCATTGGCCTGTTCTTTTAGCCACACAGAGTCTCTCTTAAAAAAAGCTATTAATGTCTGTGTGTTTCGTATTAAGTTTTTCCCCCTCCTCTTCGTAAGCAGCCCTGCAATGTCCTTTTTTTCTCTCCGCAGAAGTGGATGGAGTACATGAACATCAATCCCAACATGACACAAACCTCTGGAAGCTGTGGGACGCTGCAGTCCACTCTGAACATAACTTTCAGTGGAGGGTTTATAAACTTTGTCTTTGTAAAGGTAATTGGTGCATTTAGAAGGAAGGAGTGTTTAGATTTGGGGAACTGGAACTCAAGCTGCTTCTGCTCCATTCCCAGCAAACACAGTGGTATGCTGTCTGCTGCAGGAAAAGACATTTCATCTGTCTCTCTGATATTTTTCCACATGGATATGAGGTATTATTATTCCTACCCTTTCCAAGGAGCTAGAATCATAGCATCATGCATTAATTTAGCTTGGGAGAGACCTTTGGAGGTCATCTGGTCCAAAGAAGGACTAACTTCAAAGTTAAATCACGTCTTGTCTATTGAACTTTGAATTTTGAAAGGTTCTTATGTTTAATCAAGGGTAAGTAAAGTGCCTTGAGATCCTTTGACAGAAAGTGCTAAGGAAGGGCAGCATCACAGCTACCAGTCAAGCTGCACAAAGCCTATAAATAGCCCTCCGCAAAATCTGGATCTCATTTTTACATAGGTAAAAATGGAGTGAGAGGGAAGGCTAGGTCTGCCATTTGGACTGGAGCGGGACAGAGAGAGTGAGTTTGGCAGTCTGGAGAACCTGCCCAGGAACAAGGTGTGTGTGCCGGCAATTCTGACTCATGCTCTCAAGTTGCTGTTATGACATTTTGTCTCAGGGACTACCCGAATGAACACCAAGTTAGTCATTTGCTCCCCATAAATGCCAAGTAACATAGTTCTGCCTAGACAAAAACCAGCCTTGGTTGTTAAATCTGAAGGACAATCTGTGCAGGTGGAAGTGCTCAGGAGCCACAGCCGGTCCACAGCTGAGTGGACTGGTTCACCTAATTTCTGAGTGGAAAAACTCAAACAACTGAGCAACAGCAAAATTGATTATAAGTATCCTTAAAATACACTGGATCAGAGAGACTCATAAATACACACACAAACTCGGGCAAGAGAGAGGTCTATGTGCTTTCACAGTGGGAGAAGGATTTTTCTTTTTGATGTTGTGTCTGTCGATACCACATTCCCTGCTGGGACTGCAATGCATGTGGACTAGGCTTTAATATAAGCCATCGTGGGTATTGCCGATATTATGGCCGTGCAGAGAAAGTTGCAGAGAGTGCAACCATACTGTCTGTCCCGCAGGCATTTGCACCATTCACACATTTTGGGAGGCAACATGCAGTACCATTTGTCTAGAAGTGAACAAGGGCTGGGTGGCTGATGCCAGCCAGGCTAAAAGACAGAGGTTAGAGGTTAATGACTGTGTATAGAGTCATTAAGGACCAGCGAGATAAGGGGTGGGAGGAACATAATAGTGCTCAGATGCAATCAAGCTCTGACTGAGCGTGTAACACGAATTAAGGCCATATCCTGGAGCTCTGAAGAGGTTTAGTGCTACATCTGACCATCACTGCTGATCTATGTCCTTAATCAAGCCAAAAATGTCAATCTTACAGCCTGGTTCCAAGCTCTTCCAGAAGAGGAAGCCCTTGTGTCTCCCCCACTGACCATGGAAAGGGCATGGCAAACTGGAACTCAATTAGTGACAATTAAGGAAAACACAAGTAGTTGATCAGTCATCATTCACAGTTCAGTTGGGGGGGGGCATCAGGTTCTCAGATGGCAAAATCTGACATATTTCCATAGAAAGTCCTAGAGGCAACAGCAAATTGTACCTCCCTGAGTGTTTGGTCATTAATGCTTAAGCAGATAATAAATTTCAATCTTGTTTGCAGTTTACGGCAGAAAGATTTCTAAAAGCTACAGAGCAAAAGAGAGGTAAAAAAAAATCAACAAGCTGTTTTAAAACAAAGGATTGGTTCAAACTGTGAGTGTTTGCTTTAAATATATGCTTCTCACAAGAGTAGCATTTTCTGCTACAAGGATACTTAGGAAAGGTCTGGTGATTCAAGTACCCCTAAAAGTACCAGCTCGTAGCAGTGCTAAGGAGAGGGATGGGAATCTTTAGGAGGTACTTGATCTCTCTCGCCCTGCAAGAGGTGGCTACTGGCACAGCATTAGACAATCTGCCCTTCACTTAAAAGATAAGCTTCATGAGAATATCAGGGCTTGGCTTAAGACTTCTTTGAAATATGAGTTAATAAGAAATCTGTTTGCTGCCGTTTCTCATGTGTTCAGCCCCCACAGCCTCTCTAACTTCTACGCTGTTGGCTTTGAACCAGGGGTGCTCCATTAACTCCAGTGTTGACACTTCTCATTTTCATCAAGGAAAGATGAGCTGGGTCAGGCCCTAGGCCTGTGGTGCTGCAGGCGGGTACCAGGGGTGAGTGCCCGGTTCAGCGAGCTCACTTCCAGGTGCCTTTTGCAAAGGACTTGAAAAGAGGAAGTTTTGCAACCAGCCCACAGTATGTGAAGTAGGAACAGGTGTTTTCCCCAAGCAAAGTTCTTAACTGTACCCAAACTGCCAAAAACTGGTAGCATTTGACTTATTTGACTTAAGGATAGTGCTGAGACCTTCTTTTCTGGTGTATTTCTTCTCTAAATTTCTTTCCTCTCTTTGAGTCAGTATTTCAGAGCTTTTCTGTCAAGCCCAAACAATTCTACCAGCTTTAAAACTCTCCTGCATGATATTAAAAATATCACAGGAGACATTCATGTCAGCTGTCGTTTATCCACTAGCTGCACTCACCAGTCCCTGTGTGTTCACAGCTGGAATTAAAATTAATAATAGGGCTGCTACATAAAGTTTCACATTATAACCCCAACCTCGCTGCCAGGGAAAAGCCTTTAAGGCTGGCCCTCCCTTTGTAACAGTCTTGGGAGGACAGCAATCGAGTTGCACCAGGGTTTTACAGCATATACAGGCAAGACACTAGAAATTTTGCTCTGTGCTGTTGTTATACCAGGTGTTTTCCAAGTCAGCAGTCTATAGGCATATGAAACAAAGCCAGCCACCACTGACAGTATCAGCAGCATGGAACCGAGTTATTTCTCCCCTATATAGAAACACCTAGGTTGCTGATTCCTCATTTGCAGTGATTGCTGTTGGTAGACAAAATAATAGAAAATGAGTGGTACCAACATGGAGAGATGAGCTCTCAGCTTGCTGCCGGCCTCTCCAAGTTCAAGAGGATGATGAATACAGAAGAAGAGGCCAGATCACTGCTGCTTTTTGCAGTTGGTGACTTACAGATGTTACTCATGTGAAAAATGCCTAGGCATTTAAATTGCGCTGCAGTGCAGAGAGTCCTAAGTACTTTTAAAGACATCAGCCTCCACACTGCAAGCAGTCAGACCACAGGTCAGCATGGATAAATTCAGTGCAAGATTACTAATGAGAGCACTATAGGGACTTTCATAGCAGACAGGTCAATAAAAATAAAATAGCCTTGTCACATACCAGTTTATTAGTGCAATGTAAAACATTTGCTTAACTCCCTCCTAATGTAGGTTACTGCAAGTATCACAGAAATGTCTAGGTTGAACGGTGTGCAGCGTGTGCAAAGCACATCTGCACGGTCCGGTTAAACGGAACTGAGTAAAATTGGTGACGTACATGATATGGCTGCATTGTACCACCTGTAAGACGTTAGATGGAATGATGTAAATCTGTTTGATGGAATGATCTAAAAAACGCACAAAATGAGCAATGCATTCAAAAGAGCTGTTTGTTGGTTCTCCGCGGTGATGCTTTAAAAATTGTTTCTTCTGATAACCTCTTTGTGACCATTTTGCTGTGGAGAGCTGCTTTTTCACAAATACAAGGATGAAGTAGGAATAAAGAAAAATCTTCTTTTGCAGAACGCTCGAACATACCATGTCAGTACAATTGAGGCCAGTTTACAGTTATCTTCTGAAGGTCAGTGATTTTACATTTAATGTTCACAGTGTTAATTTCATATCAAACTGTTCTTACTGTGGGATTTCTTTTTCTTACTTTCAGTGTCCTACAGAATGTTTCACTCTGATAGGCTTTCATATCTTTAAAACATTGAATTTTGCATATTATGCATATTATGCATTTCATCAAGCTTTCAACAAGCCATTCACCCAGCTTTCAAAGGAGGACAAGCGTCCAGGGCCCAGGTTACGAGATCTTTTCTTGCTTCAGCTATCTTCCACTGCTGGAATCAAAACTTGAGCCAAATTTTTCATAAATCTCTGTGACACTGAAATGTGTTTAAAAACATGTTTAATATGTAAAGCAACACGGGCCAGAAATGTCAAATTCCCGTGACAGAGATCGTATCTCTGTTTTGGCTAGAATTAGCGGTGCTGTGGACCTAAGACAAGTGTCTGTTCTTGTGAGAAACCTAGCCTACCCTTGCAGACTCAAATTGTTAACATATAAATTGAGGAAGCACCTTACATTTTTTTCCTCTTTTTCAGACGCAACCTTCAAGCTTTTCAGGCTTGCACATCAGTAATTAAAACAATTATTTGTACATGGGAGAAATGTAACTGATACATTATTGGGAAAATTGTCCATGCTTCAGTTACATCTGTTACTGCTACTCTGCCAAAGCACTGGGGAAACCTCTGTTTTATCTCAGAAAGATTTTGGTTTTAACAGAGTTAGTGTGGATTCCTGTTTGTTATTATCCCTGTTTTTGTGGCCTCCAGGTATGCTTTACTACGCAGCCATACATGAGCAGCTGTTTACAACAAAGCTGGGGAATTCCTTTAAGTGTGCCAGCAAGCAAACCTTCGGCTTGGAGAAGAGCTTCCAGCTACTCACAGTTAATATGCAGCTGCAGGCCTTTGATATTGTTGGTAACCAGTTTGGAGAAGGTGAGTAGAAAGAATACCTTGTCCACCTTTCTGAGATCTAAATGTCAGCACTCTGGTAGCCCAAGGTATCTCCTTCTGCTCAATTATCAGGATATACACGTGGTGATCCTATTACACCTAAGGACCGATGATGCACTGTCACAGCTTTCTAACTACCAAACACTATCACCTGCTTGCTGCTGTATTCTCATCCTTTCCCAGCCATTTTTAACATGGTGCTAATAGCTGTGAAGCATGGAAGAGTATCTTTCCCTCCTGCATTAAATACCCTCTTTTTCACCTTCTCATTAAAAATGCGAAGCTCTATTGCCACCATTTTATTCCTCTTTGTCCATTTTTTCCCAGAGCAAGTGGAGGTGTGCTCCCCACCATTGCACTGGCTTCCTGCAACACATAATGTGTACAGCTCAGTTCAAGGTCTCTGTTCTCAGTGTAGTCAGATCTTGCTATTTAAAAAAATTCTTGATACGCACCACATCCCACAGCTGTAGCAGCAGAACTGCCCACTAAAAGGAATACTTGTGAATGCAGGATGATACTGGCAGAGCAGCTGGGTCTAGGCATGATAAAATGTACTCCTGAGGAGGAGCACGATTGGCATGCTCCCTAGTTTCAGAATTAAATGCAGTGCTCATCCCTGCAATTTGTCTTCTCTGAGTACAGATCCACAAAGGCAACCATGTAGCTTAGTACTATTTGCTGGGAACACAAAAACAGACCAGTATCTACTCTTCTGGTTTCTGTTCCCCCCACCTCCTCCCCTCCCCCCAACCCTGCATTTCCTTCCAGAGAAGACTGAGGTATTGTCATCTCTGTCCTTCATCCAGCTATGCAACTGGGACCTGGCAAGGATGTACAGTCAGGGACTGCTAGGTGCACTGGGAAATTCCCGTGTCCCACGCACATATTATCAACACTCCCCCAGTGTAGTGCCTTATTTCTTAAGAGGTGCTCAAAAGATCCTACTCAAAGCACATAGGTAAACTAGATGGTCCCCTGAGGTCTCAGTCTTTCATTAGTTCAACATTTTGGCTGCTTTTCTCATTCTAAAAAGAGTGTAATGGGAAACTACGTCTTGAGCTTTTTAATATTCTATTCGTGGAAGCTTTTTTTACAAACTTTTCTTAAAGTTCTTAAAATCCACACTGAGAATCCAGTCTATGTCCTTATTCTCACAAAAAGTTTTTTTCGTATGATAAAATTGAGCTGGTACAGCTCATAGGATCTCACCCGGCCCCACATTCCCATTTGAATTTGTACAGTGAACGAGTTCAGATCTGGCTTCTGGTATGGCCTCACCTCTAGCAGAGACAGAGCTTAGGAAGACTGTCGCCCTCTTCAAGGTCAGGCTAATAATTAGTGTCTGCTAAGCGATACCATATCCAAAATTAAATTGGTTTTACTCTTAACCAAAGGACTGAGAAAGCAGCTACCACTTCTGCAAGAATTCCCAAATAGCCATGAAACAGTTATGAAAGTGTTACGCACATCTGTTGCATATGCAGATTTTGAAAGACAAAATCCCCAGTGCAGGAATGGCTCTGTAAAACAAACACATCACCGGCCTCCTCCCCTCAGGTTTCTTGAGACGTAGTTTCAGTTCTGTTGCTCCAGATTTGCTTATCTTTAAAAGAGGAAGAAAAAGAGAAACACCAATGACCACTGGTTTCAAGTTCCTTACGGTCTTGTATAGACTTCAGCAGAATTACACCAATAAAGAATGGCCTGTTTAAGTCCGGAAAGCTGCAAAAGTGTCTTCTGAATTGCGTTTCATTATATGAGAACCAGTTTCTAGAGCTGATAGCCTAAGGTTGCATTAATGCAAAACTGCCAATTCAAGCACCTTTGGCTTTTGCAATATTCAAATGCAAATACTTTTCAGCTCACTTCTTTAACAACAGCTTACTTTTACCAAACTAAGCCTTTAAAAGGCAGCCTCTAGCAGAATGCTATTTGTGTCAGTGCATCACAGTAAATTAGGCTCACCAACTGGATCAAAAGAGAAGAGGATCCGACTTTGGGGATAGCAGTGTGGAAGCTCTGGAGTTATGATATGATGTCACGAACTCCAGATGGAAGGGGTGGGGGAGAGTCGGATCTCTCTCATACCCTGGATGTAAACTGGATTCGCTGCTGAGCTGGGATACACTTTACAGTTCAGCTGATCAAACTACCCTACTCAGAGGATAGTTTGCTACTCAGATGCCACTCAAAACATCATGTTACAGCTCGCTCTTTCCCTGGAACCCAAGGAAAGACCATTCCTACAAATCAGGTGGAGGAGGTAGGTCTGAGCCAGTTCTGGGATAACGCATTAGTGACAGTCCCAGACCTTGCTCTCACTCCCAAGCTACACCTGATGCATTGTGACTTTAAGACTGGTGCTGCCATTGCTACCCAGGTAAATATTCCGTTTGTATCAGTGATCCAAATGGTGCAGTCTCTCCATACACAAGCCACTTGTTTAACCCAATCTGGAAGTTCATTTCTGAATTAGTGAGTTTACATTTAGTCAACAGATGACTTGAAGACTACTTTGGCTAGGGACTGGCTGAGGAAGTCAGAATTAGCCCCCTCTGTGTAGTTAAGACAAACGATGTACCTTTGGATTGTTCTTACAACTTATTCACTTTTTTTTTTCCGGAAACCTTGCTGAGGCCATCGTGCATACGGTAAAATTACATGAGTACTATTAAATCAACCCACTGCAGTGAGCCCAAGGCTTCTGTCTTCCTAACCTCCTAATGTTCCAAATTAGCCACAATAATCCACAGACATTCTGAATTAAATGGGGAGAAGAATTGGAATTTGTTTTTTCTTGGGAAATATTGACTTAGCTATGATCCTTGCTGTGCTAATGATGTGCTAGGCTATGGGCTTCCTTCTCCGGCCTGATCTTTTTTACCAGGCAGAAGCAATTAGATGCCACATAGCAGCAGGTTTTGTCCATGCAGGATGTGTCTTGTTAATTTTTAGACTTTTACTTTGCAGTGTGATGCTCCACATCTACTAAGAGCAAGAAAGCCTCCTGCTGTGTAAGTACAGAGGTTGATAGTAGAACAATTACTGGGGACATGAAAGAGCAGAGTAGTGAAGCATGTAGCTTTTTCCAAGTATTGTTTTCTTGAGATAGGATTCATCACAGGTAAAAATATATTCAGCACAGTCCAGGAAAAAGAAGGGTTTTGGGAACTTCTGGTTTGTATTTGCCAACTTGTCTACAATATGGGTGAATAGTCTAGAAGAACAGTGTTCTGCTATAATACATTCTCTGATCTCATTTTTCTTGCAGAGGAAGACTGTTTTCTTGACAGAAACAGCAAAGCAGTTCCCACTGCAGTGGGCCTGAGTATCTTGGGATTATTTGCCATTGTGCTCGTCACATTTGTGATTTCCAGAAGAAAGTCGCATAGAGGATATGAACGCATCTGAGTTGCCTTTTTGCTTCCAAATGTGCGTAGCAAGTAGAGAAGTTGCAAGAATTTTTGCCTCTACATACAAACTCTCTGCCTTGAAGCCATATTTTTAAGTGGGATGACACGATGTGTTTAAAGCTAATGCGTATTTCTGGAAGTGATTTCTTTAAGGTGGGAAGGAGAGGACTTGCACCGTCTACTTTAGGCTATACTTGACTTCTAATTTAGATGTAGTTCAGAAGACCAAAGTTAGGAGCCAAGATTCCTCGTATTACCAATAAAGGAGGCAATTCAGACTACCTAAGTTAGATGCCTAAAAATAGCTTAAAGCAGATAGCGTGACTATACCCCATGAAATCCATCAGTTTTCTTCAAGATAGTATTCGGACTTATTAAAATAGATAAGTCCAGTAATATGACTTCCAAGTGAATAAACTAGAGGTCTACAGCTACAGACAGCCCTGTTAAGTCAGCGCTCAGTGATAGCCTTGTGGGAGCACTGTGTATGCTGAAGTCTCAGGACAAGTATGCTTATGATTTCCATCCATAAGAAAGTTCTTGCCAATCCTGTAACTTAACCAGGGTTAAGTTTAACAAGTTATTGTTATTTCCTACTAAGGCCATTGGAGGACAGAGTGGTGATAGGTGGCTCTCACTCGAGGCAGTATTTTTAGAAAATTTTCTAGTTTCCATTGACTCGATATCCAAATGGGATACAATGGCCCGACCGGGGTCACATGGGGTCTCTGCCAAAGTTACCACCCATCACTGTTTGTCTCAGCCCCGGTGCAAAGATGTCTGAACTTCTTGTCAATAATTTTTGAACTGTAGCCTCTTACATTGTGCATGAGAGCAATCTGACATTGGTAAGAGTTCATCTTAAAGTGTCATGCTGTAAACTGCATAATTCAGGAGCTGACTGACCGGCAGCTCAGATGTCTGTGCAGCAGAACCAGGCGGGCGTTTGGAGGCAGTAACTCTGTCTGCGTTAGCAGGCCCAGCCATCCCCACTTGTCAGTCAGAGCACAGCATCCTTTTGCCACGTTTGCTGCACAATGGGGAGAAAGCTAACAGGAGGGTCTGAAGGCACTGCGACACATGAGCTGGTGTTAAGCGTGCTAATGCAATAGATAGAGACTGGGGCGAATTTGCTTGATTAATTCAGGGAGCTTAATTTTTAGTGGTCTTGTAAGAGTTCATGAGTCACCCACTTCCTATTCAGACTCAGACCTGTTACAGTGACTGCCACTCAACTCAACACCTGTCACTCTACTGAGATGACGGTACTGTGATCTCTCCTAATCTGGAAAGATACCACAGCTCCTGAAAATGCCTGGGAGTAAGTGGTCACCACTGCTTCAGACCTGCATAAGGTCCGTAAGGTCCGTGAGTGAATGGAGACCCACTAAAGCTGTATTTTCAAAGCTTCTGTAGGAATTAAGACCTTGCACAGGCCTTGGACAAATTCTCTACCCAAAAGTGAGCTCTGGCCAGTACGCTTGTAACTGAGCAGCTGGATTTTCATATGGAAATAGTTTGGAGTTGCTTTAAAGCACACTAATCGTAACACTCTGTAGACTGCTTCCTGCTAAGCAAATGATGAAGGCATAACTGCTTTTCAGATTAAGTTCAGCTAATGTTCTTTGTTGCAACAAGGAAAATCTTGTTGCGAAAGATTTACAAGGCTAAACAATATGCACAAACGTGCGCACACATACACACACACACAGATCTCCATTCACTGCAGCACGATACATGGAAACAGTAAGAAATTAAATATAATATTTAATCTGACCCTAAGCCTTTCTGACTAGGGATCAATAGACATCTTTCTCTTTCACAGCTAAGTCCTGTTTCACATGTTCATTGGATTAGTAAGTTGCATGTACAGTTTGCTACTTTTATTGATACAAATAGAGCATTTTCCTGTTATGTTCCCTACTGAAAAACTCTTTAATATTCAGTCTTTTAATATTTGATATCAATCTAAGGAGAGAAAGCTGTTCCTAATGACTGATAATTCTGTGTTTAATCGCATCCTCTGGCATTTTTACAGAGGATGTAAAGTTAATGTATTTTTTTCACTTTTTCTCACTAGGATGAATCCAACTGTTGGTCCTGAACAATGTTTGATTTCAGGCTTATCTGATTCTTGTTCTTGTGCTTTTTGTTGCTATTACTTGTTTGCCATTTTTCTGAAGCTGCATATAACCCTTTCTACGTGAATAATACTCTGGACTTGCACCAAACAGCACAGGTGGAGCGCACATGGCGTAAACTGATGAGACGATTGCAAGCTCCCATACAGTGATGCCAACACGAAGCAAAATGAATCCAGTGGAGTTAATGTTTTACACTAGTAGAGGATTCCTTACCGCACCAGGAGATCCTGGCCCTTTATGTGTAACTATTTTCCCATCTGCAGCTTGCCTCCACGTCCTTCATGTACAAATAGCCTGCGGCAGGACAGCATGTTCGCAGCACTGCCTCTGAATCTATTGGCAAGTCAGAATGAGGCAGCCTAGTTGCTCCCTGAGTTGTTGCATGCGGCTTTTTAATCAGATGCCTGTGTTTATTTTCTGCCAGAATTTAGCTAGATGTTTGGTTGGCACTTTCTTATCTGATGCAGTTCCCTTGAGGTCCTCCTTTCAGCGAGAAGACTTGATAGGTGTAATAGGTCTTGGCTGCCAGACTTTCCTTATTAAGTATCTTGTGTGAGCAGTCATTTTGAGCAGAAGGTCCCTAAAGAAGCACCATGAAAAGAAGAGGCTCTTGTGAGAAACTACTTGTACACCGAGAGGGCCATAGGAGTTTTAGTGTGACCAGCAGTGCACAGTTTCTCTGCTTTCTGTCGATAGGAATGCAAATGAGAACAGTACTATCTACACCTGGTAGATTGTTTCCCTTCCATGGTTGCTCTTTGCCTTAGTCAGACTCTTGTTCATCAACTTGACTATCCTGACCCAAAAAGCTGCATGCCAAAAGTCTTCACATGGCCATCACAAGCCCGTATACCCCAGAGAGCTGAGGGAAGAGCATAGTCTGCTGCGGGAGGGTGTGAGGTTGCAGCTGGATCCCGCAGTGACTGGCAATGTTGGTTTTGGCAGCCTCAGCTCACTTCTTCCCGCAGCTGCGAACGCTGATCGCCCCATCGCTGAACCAGAAGATACCAGTAATGGTGACATAATGCAGCCCATCATGGGAGCAAGGCTTGATTCACTTGCAAGCCCATGCTGTTCAGGACGCAGGGAGGCCATTTGCAGAAGTTAGAGGAGGTGGGCACATCCCTAGCTCCGTGCTGCAGCTCTCGCCCCAGGCCGTACACTAAGGTCTACTGTACACATAAGGTAGACAAAAGGGCATCTCATGAGTATAACGATGTCATACTTATCCTCTTAGCCAAATAGCCAAGTTATAAGGAAAAATTTAATTTCTTTCAGTCCACTGTTGCTCTCTGATGGAAAAAGTCCAAACTGAACACCTGCTGCTAAATTCTGGGTGGAAGAGAAAGGGAGATTTAGATGAGCTCCTTGAGTATGTAAGTTTGTTTGCTCTCTTTACTTCTAGCTTGCTATAATATAAGGACACGAGAAAAGACTTTGTTATGAATAGTAAGATATGCTCTTTATTTTTCTATTATTGGTGTTTCTATAATAAAGAATGTATTTAGTCATTAAAGTATGCATTGCTCTTGAGTGCTGTCTCACCTACCGTCTCAAATACAAGTATAATGTAACAAAGAGGCAGGGTCTTATGGGGCCTGGACACAAACCAAAAAGCCAGATATGCTTAAATTCTAAGCATAACTGACAATGACTTCGCCCATGGCCTTGGGCAGGTCATCTGACATTTCCATCTTTGCTTCATCAACATGTTAAAAAAGATGGGTATTAAAAATATCATTATGAAGTTTACTGCTAATCTCCCCACAACTTCCTGAGTGTCTGAATTCACTAGGTTTTTGTATATGACTAAATCTCTTTTTTACTTCCTATTGGTCCAGTAAACACAGACCGTAACTCACAGCAGATGTAACGAATGTTTGTTACTTCATGTTTAAACTGCTTTCACAGATAATAATCTTAGGAATTGTTATGAAAGTCTTTGGAGGAGAACACATCCTTACAGCAGGCACTTATGGGAACTAGAGGAAATAACTGGCCTAGAAAAGACCACATAAACTCCAAAATTCCATAGCTTCAATGTTGATGAACAGGAATTCCCCAAAGTATGTGATTTTGCTCTTTATCACATCAACAGCGCATCAGCCAACTTAACATGTCTTAACTGTGGTACAACCATGGGAGGTAAACTTCTCAATAAAATGAGGCATGCAGAAGTTCTGCAACTTCAACCCTAAAGGTTTTTTTGAGAAACCTGAAACAAAATCTAGTTAGATTTTTGTTTGATTAATAACTGGAGCCAGACCAAGTTTTGAGTATAGCCTCCTGCAATGCCTCTAAGGCCAGTGTGAAAGGTTAGATGATAGAGCTGAACTGACTAGGAAAGAGAAAGTGGGCAGACAGATGGGTGAACAGGATGCTGCTACCTTCTCTGCGGTGGGCAAAACAAGGCTCTGAAATAGCTGGATGAATCCAACATGTCACGCTCTTTATGACTACAGAGGCAAAGACTGTCAGACGGATTGCAGGAAGCCAGAAGATGGGGTAAAGACAGGGGGAGAAAAATCTCTCTCTTTACTGTCGGCTACTGATACAGGAACTCATTTATTAGAGCAGTGCCGACGAAGGCAGCAGAAAGAAACTTCTCTCGGTGAGAAAATACCAGAATTATGCTTCTCTCGCTAGCACCATTTCCAGCATCAGTGCAACAGCTCTACATAATAAATAATTTCATGACCAGAGGAGCAAGGTGGTCATACGACCCCTTGGTGCAGTCAGAATCTGAATCCACATCTCTTGTCCCTTTGATCTTTGGAAGACTGTGGAGCTAAAAATGTTTCACAGAGCCCTTGATTTATCATTATGTAGGAAAACAGGCTGTCAAGAGCACACGGTGGGTTTGCGCTGCTCAATTGCGCTTACCTGGTCTGACACAAACCAGATTTGGTGCCAGGTGGGTGCAAGTGATACATATCACTTACACAGGAGTGGCTAAAGTTCCTGGCCTATCCGCGTTAGTTTTAGAAGCTGGGCTGTGCATACGTGCTTGGCAAGTGCACTTCAGCTGATGAACTAGGGTTTAGGTGGGGCCTTCTGAAGTGGCTCCTCAAAGGCTACTGGATGTCCCAAAATTCTCTCTTGACAAAGATTAATGGCAGATGAAGGAAGAGTCAAATATGTTCCTTTTCAAGGCAAAACAATCCCTCTGTAAGTCACAACATGGACTACCCTATAAGCCCAAAGACTGTGAATTCACTGAGGAAATGTTTTCACATCAGAGTGCCTAGGCCAAAAAAAAGGGGGGGAATTGTTATGCTTTTTTTTTTTTTTAAAGAATCAATTTAAGGAAAATAACAAGGGCATGAGGAGACAGATTTCTAAGGCGTTAACACTCACTAGTAAGCTGATGAGAGTCAGAGAATACATAAAAGTGCAAAGCACAGCCTGAGCTCACCTCTCCACTACTGATGATAGGAAAGATCTGAAATACACTTATATCAGCACTGTCCTCCCCAGGCCAACCAGAGCAAGAGGTCCAAGGGCTATCTGTTCCGTATAGGGAATGCATGTATATTTAGTGAGTGCATGGATTAATACCTAGTCATATCATGAAAACCAAGTCCATGTATATAGTAAGAGATATACTTCAGGTTAAATATTTGTAAGTGAAGGGAGCTAATGAACTTTTAGCAGGTCCTTTCCTTTCTTACAAACAGGTTCATGGCTGTGGTCATTGCATACCGATGATGCAGGGGTATGCGTGTCTAAGTTTATGGGCCGGCCACAGCAACGCTCACATTTTCAGCATTAGGGCTTTCCCAGCTAGCCACAGAAAGTCAAATAACCCGCATTTCCCCTTTTCTGCAAGTGCTACTGCCTACATTTCTACCTCCCAAATGTTTTAATAAATTATAGTTTCATCTGCTCAGTTTCTTACTTAACTCTTTGTTCAAAATTTTAAAAAGGGCTAAGTCGCATTTCCCAAATGCAGAAACAAAATAAATGATTTTGGGGAAAAAGGAAAGCTTTCAATCTGAGAGTCAGAAAATCAGTGCAGATTGGAGACATGGATGCTGGTTTTGAACCAGCTTTGCTGGGGCTTTCCTAAACCCCAGAAGTTTCTAAAGAATACTACTCATTAGCCCAGCTAATTTTTTAATGTTTAACTGTGTTCATTTTGCTATGGAATGACAGTTTTGTCTTCTCCTCAAGAAATGAATTCAAATTCCAAATGAATTGTGTTGTTCACAATCTGCTCATGGAAAAAAAAAGGAGAAAAGTACTTGAATTATTAATCTAAAGAGCTGTCAGAGTATGCTAAGCTTCTACGACAAAATTTAAAATCTTGCCAGTTTTACCTATACAGCATTTATGACTAGCTTCTGAAACAGTGCCTCCACCCATGTACATGCAGTATTAAGCATACTACTGGTGTCAGTGAAAAAAATTATCATTTTCTGCAAGTCAGTTTTATTACACTGCACTTTCAACATCTGTGTGTACAGTCTGGTGACCTCACTGGACCTTGCAAGCCCTAAAAGCCGTGCTGTCAGGATGCCTTCACCAAAACCAGACTGCAATACAAATGAGTTTGCTATTTCCATTAGTTTTGCTGTTCGAGGTGTAAACTCCTCCACACACCTCTGACTTAACGTTTTGTAACACATAAGTTTAACTCTTGCCGATGCTTAACAAGAAACTCCATAACAGGCTGCCATCTTGTGTTTGGAAAGAAATTCAGCAGGCTGAAAATATTTTGAAATCTCCATTTCAAAAGGCAAAAGGCCTATGCTATTAGTGCAATAGTGAGGAAGAATGAGGTGAATGAATTATGGAACAAATATAGCTTCACTTGAGAGTTCTAAAAAGCGTGTTTCTAGGGTAAGCACTGGGCCTATCTTTTGCAGTCGGACTTAACGGACCACGCTCCTCCTCCAAGCTGATCCGGCACCTCTTTAACCTGCTACCATCACTCAGTTACTGGTGTGAATGCCCACTGGGGTTACTGTCCTCGTGCCAGCTTAAAAAAAAAAAAAACCAAGCAGCAACGGAAAAAGCAAAGCTTAGCTACACACCCAGCTCTTTCTAAAGAGACCATCAACTCCAGAGTACGTAGAGCATGTCAGACGTGCTACTGTCAGCTCGAGGTCTGCTGAGGACTGAGGTGAATCAGGCGGCCTAGGTGATGGGCATTTCCTTTCCTGCTGTGTTAGGAGATCCAGCTCAAGGTGTTTCCCGACCACTCCCACCATCTCATTTGCTGTCTCCATCACCACTTTACTACAACCCCCCAGGGGTCAATCCCGAGTAAAGACAGCCCCGGCCCTTCATATGCGAGGCGCGGCTTCCTTCAGCTGTGCGCGCCACTCCACGTTTATCCGAAGGTAATGTGCTCTGCCCCTTTTATTGCCCGGCTGCGCAGTGGCAGCAAAGGCCTCTTCCACGTCTCCCGCCACCCTGCCTCACTCCCTCCCCAGCCAACCGCCA